TCCACGTGCATTTCCTGCATCAGCCGATTTCTTATACAATAAAAGAGCTTTACCAGGATCCCTTATTTCAAAAGTGCGCTACCGAGCAACCAATGATTATTATTTTGTGCAAACATTTCATAAAAGGGTTTTGCCTTAATGGAATCCATCTCTGTCCCAAGCCCTGCCTGATAGCTAAAGCCAGCCAAATTGGGATATTGTTTATAATACTTTTCTTGGGTTATTAATCTAAAAAAATGGTCGAGAGAAATTTTTTTTGACTCGAGCGCTCTTCAATGATCTCAGCTATGTCATAAAAATCATATGCATCATTTATTCTTCAAAAATAAATTATTGACTCCTTCAATTATTTCATCGTCCTTAGTATCTTTTTCTTTATTGCTTTAACGTTAACCAATAAATAATTTGGTGGATTATTGCCTGTATCATCAAATCCAATTCCATATGAACTAGAATCAAAACACACAAAAAGAAAAATAATTTGCACTTAAACTCAGAGATAGAACTCGATATTGAATCTGAAAATTCCATATTTAAATTCTTCACATCATCAGTCTCTTCTGGCCACTCAATAAATTTTATTCTATCATAAACACTATCGATATTTGGTCGATTTTCTGGTTTGCCATCCCAACATTCTGTATATAACTGCACATAGCTGTCTGGTGTTCCTATAATTGGAGATTCACGCATGCCCATTACAACATTATATCCTATTGCTGATGGACTGATCTGTGTCATTGGTGGTCGACCACTAGATAATTCCCATAAAACCACTCCAAGACTATAAATATCGGATCTTGCATCAGGCCAGTAGTTTCCTTTAAAACACAGTGGCTCGACGTATGGTGGATGTCCGTGGACAACTGACATCGAGTTCATACCATCAGGTTCTATTCTTTTGGATAATCCGAGATCCGCAATTTTTATTATATGGTTGTGGACAAGAATATTTTGTGAATTCTAATAAATGAATCTTCATTAGACATCAAATATTTTTTTTAATATAGTTATTTAGATAAATACTAACCAAATCTCGATGAATAATGTTTTCATGATGAAGATACATGAGACCACTAGCAATTTGTTTGGCCAATTCCAATTTATGCTTTCCGGTCATTGTGTTAAAATTCTTTTGCAGATAACTCCGAAGTGACCCATTATCGGCATATTCAAGAACAAGCAAATAATTATTCGTCGTTGGCTCTATTAAGGTTCATTTTTTGTATAAATGAAAATAATAAAAAAATATGGCAGAATCTCCGAGTATACCCTCATAGAATTGTAGCACGTTAGGTGACATTGTCATATCTCGTAATAATTGTAGCTATATATTTTTTAGATGTAAAGTATTATAAGTATTCAAATAAAAAACCCTTGTTAAGTTCATGTTATTATAACGTACTTCTTTGACCATTTCGCGGTAAGCTTTAAACTTTCACGGCGAAATTCAAAGGATTTGCTTTCCATTTGGCA